TGTCGGTCATAAATTCAAGACATTTGATGCAGAGACTATTCTTTTATTGCCTATTAAATATATCAGTAAATTGTTGCCACAATGTGTCTTTGTGACATTTGTCAGTTGCAACATTGTGGCAGTGTTGTGGCTCGATAGTTGTGTGTTGGTATTTTTTAAATGTATTTTTCAATGGACAGACATGCATTAATTTTTTGCACTTGATGTTAATGTGATTCAGACTAAAATGGAAAAAATACAAAGCCCTTGAACATGGAAAGTAATAGAACTTCAGTGTCTTAAAAGGGATAGTTCACCCAAAAATGAAAATTTGATGTTTATCTGCTTACCCCCAGGGCATCCAAGATGTAAGTGACTTTGTTTCTTCAGTAGAACACAAACGAAGATTTTTAACACAAACCGTTGCAGTCTGTCAGTCATATAATGGAAGTGAATGGGAATCACGGCTTTGAGAGTAAAAAAAACCATACACAAACAAAACCAAATTAAACCCTGCGGCTCCCAACTGTTTTTATATGTAAACCATGTGTTTTTGACAGTATTAGCACAATCAGACACAAAAGAAATCAGTAATCAGGTGTTGTTTGACCGGTTTTTTAGTGTGTGCACGCTTTAGGTGTACGCTCTCAGAAAAAGCACATGTCAGAACAGCAGGAGAATGAAATGTTTAACCGGCAAGACTTTAAAGCACAAGCAAATTATGTACTTTTGTGATTTGTGAATAAGTGCAGAGTCCCGTGTTATTTGTTGTGAATGTATGTGGCATTGTAGGCCACAGTATATTGAGACGGAGGCGCCAGAACTGTAACTGATAGAATGTGCACTGTATTACGATACTACAATATTTTTTCAAAAGCAGATCATGGAGACATTTTAATCGTCAACAATCAAAAATCGTCATATCGCACACGCCTAGGCTGTGTCAACAGAAGTGAATGAGCGGACTCAAAATTCAGTTCATTTATTAAGAAAAGCACCGAAATAAACAAAGTAGCCCAAAGTTATTATAAAATAAATAATTATATAAAAAGAGAATCAGCAAACACGATATGACCAAACTTTCGGCGTGACAACCTGTAACCTATTCGTTGTTCCTTTGTAACCATGTCGGTCATAAATTCAAGACATTTGATGCAGAGACTATTCTTTTATTGCCTATTAAATATATCAGTAAATTGTTGCCACAATGTGTCTTTGTGACATTTGTCAGTTGCAACATTGTGGCAGTGTTGTGGCTCGATAGTTGTGTGTTGGTATTTTTTAAATGTATTTTTCAATGGACAGACATGCATTAATTTTTTGCACTTGATGTTAATGTGATTCAGACTAAAATAGAAAAAATACAAAGCCCTTGAACATGGAAAGTAATAGAACTTCAGTGTCTTAAAGGGATAGTTCACCCAAAAATGAAAATTTGATGTTTACCGTTGCAGTCTGTCAGTCATATAATGGAAGTGAATGGGAATCACGGCTTTGAGAGTAAAAAAAACCATACACAAACAAAACCAAATTAAACCCTGCGGCTCTTGACGATACATTGAGGTGTAAAGACACAAAACGATCGGTCTGTGCAAGAAACTGAACCGTATTTATATTGTTTTTTTTACCTCTGATTTACTGCAATGTTCGAACTGTCCTGAGCGCGTTCTCAACAGTCGGCGCGTGAGGCGTCTTCTTCTTGCTTTACGGCGGATTGCAGACTTATAAGTGCATTACCGCCACCTATCTCTCAAATGGACCATTGACACTCTATCTACAATCTCAATTAGGAGTGTCAATGGTCCATTTTAATGGTATTTACAGTATATATTTTATATAATAATTTAACATCCCTAAACACAATCACTTCTATTTTGCTGTTTTTGACACACGAATGTCACGAGATCTGAGATGTTGAACACTTGGATTTCCCCTTGCTTTCCACTTCACCTCTCTTTGACGCTAGTATTCATCTGTTATATTATTTCACAACCACATGTTTAGTCTACGATGCTCCCTCGTTCGGGCCAGGCTGATCTCGGCACAGTTCATCAGAGGCGCTCCTGATTCTTTGCACTGGATCTAAATTGGAGGGGCTGCTCCCCAGAAGCGTCTATAAATAATTGAATGAGAGCCTCCCTCTTTCAGCGCAGCACTATTACCCTGCTCGGGGTTACTGTCGCATACCCACATCTCTGAGAGCACAGAAAAGCCCCTTTGTCTTTCTGCTCCCGTGTCCCACGCCATAGCCATGGCAACATGGTCACTATGGAGTATTATGAGGTGGCTGGAGGGGGACGGGTGTCTCTTGTCAGAGCGCAGGCCTGTTCTTTCTCACTTTGGCCCTGGTGCGACTCCAAGCCTCAAACTGCCTTCTCTGAAAGTCTTTATGTGGCCTGCCAAACTTTCTGTGCCACTCAATTCAGTAGAGTGCACAGCTTTGAGACTCCTTTGAATTTTCTGATGCTTTATAAGAGATATTCAACTTCATCTTTTTCAGTTATATTTTTGGCAGATGCTGTTTGCACCCCAGTGTCTGTTACTATTTTGGGTGTTTGATTAGTCTATTCTTTTTAGATTATGGACTGAATGGTGAGCGTATTGGAAAGTTGTGCCACCTTTTTTAATGAATTTGTCCTGTGGTTGAGAATTTTTTTTGCTTACAACTTACTTGCATACGAGTACAAACTTCCAATTTTCATTTTTTAAAGCAAGTTTTAAGATCGTTTTTTTTTTTTACAGTTTTATTATTTAATAAGTTAATTATTTTATATGTTTAAGAGTCGCACCATATGACATTTTTATGACAGCCTGGACTGTCAATTTATCTGATATTTTAAAAGATTTTTTTAATCGATTTTGACCGTCACCACGTGCATCACTTGACTTTGATTTAGAGGACAAACATTTCTCAAATATTTATCATATTTTAACTGCTTCACTGCATGTTTTTCTTTAAAAACAAATAGCTAAACCACGTAAGATTTTAATTTCATAAAAATGAGTTTTTAATGAGTTTGTTTTTATTATAAAGTCAAGATGGTTGTTGAATTCATGCCCCAAAAAATATCAGAATGGATTAATTCAGAAATTAAAAATTCATATTCATAAAAACATTTATCATATAAAAGGTGTATTCAAGATGTTGTATGTGCAATGAGAAGCATTTGTAACATCTGCGCAATATGAGAACAATGAATATTGTAAATGATTTACACACCATTTTTTAAAAATAATTATTATAATATAATATTATTACATAATAAATATCATAATATTGTATATGTTAGATATTATATGATCATAATTATCAAATTCTTTGCTGCACATTATTTGCATTTTCTTAAATGCTGTTTTTGTTTAAACTAAATGTACCTGCCATGAAGAAAAATGGCTTTGAGATGAAGAAAAAAACTATTAAGCATATATAATGCGTATATATTACCTAGTGTATAATATAATATTATGGGCAACACATATTACCTCTCTAATCCCACATTCTTCCTCCTAATCTACTAATTGCACCCCAACATGTACAGATATTACTTGAATGTCATGCTAAAGCTGACTGATTTTGACAGTACTACAGTACTTACAGTTAGGAATATAGTGGTCACCGAAATGCTACTTCTCCAGTATCATACATGTAGTGGCAGATAATGCTGTTAATATGAAACATTTATAGTGTACTACTTCACACTAGTTACAGACCAAGCTGTAACTAGTTGACCTAGAATCAGCTAATTAAATCTCAAATAGTCACTCGTATTATTTATTATCCTTGATTCTGATTGGTTGAGCCAAGTTCGAAGCTGTTGTAAATTACACTACAAACAATAATTCAATATCAATATGTATCGCGATATAATTTTTTTCAGTAACGGTGATATGATTTTTAAACACATTTCCGATATTTCGATATACATTACCAGTAGCAGCAAATCAGAATATTAGAATGATTTCTGAAGGATCATGTGACTGGAGTAATGATGCTAAAGCTCTGCTTTGAAATCACAGGAATAAATGATATATTCAAATAGAAAACTGTTATTTTAAATAGTAAAAATATTAAATAGTAAAAATATTTCAAAATGTTAGTTTTTGCTGTATTTTTTCACAGGGCTTATTGCTTTATTTTAATAAATTTTTTTATTGCAATTATCAATATATGATTGTTTTTGCTTAATTTCTTTATGTAACTTTTTCCACCATCTCACCATTTGTTAATGTGTCTTTAAGACTGTACACTACTCTTCACACATTTTGGGTCAGTGAGGTATTTTTCTTCTTCGTTTTGAAAGAAACTAATAGTTTTATTCAGCAAGGACACATTAAATAGATCAAAATAGTAAATGCATGCATCAACGTTACAAATTACTTCTATTTCTAAATGATTTCTTTCTATTCATCAAATAATCCTGAAAAAATGTTTTCACGGTGTCCACAAAAATGTTAAGCAGCACTACTATTTTCAGCATCGATTATAATCAATGAAGACTGGAGTAATGATGCTGAAAACTCAGCTTTGCATCACAGGAATAAATTACATATTTAAAATATAGTCAAATAGAAAACAGGTCATTTAAATTGTAATAATATTTCACAATATTTTTAGTATTTTTGATCATATACTTCTTCCAGAAACAATAGATCTTTAAAACGGATGAGTAAATAACCTCTGTTAGGATCAGCCAACCTCTTTGCTCTTTGTGAAATGAATATATTAATGTTTTTCCATGATATAGCCCCCATTAACTGTATGCCAGACATACTTTATCGGCAGCCACTATTTGGCAGTTTTGACCTCCGCTTGTCTTCCTCACAATTATAAAGCGGAGTACAGAGCTTGCGCTGGACTATGGGTAATTGAATACCATCTTAGAAACAGCGAGCGTTTATGAACCGTGTGGTTCAATTCACCTCAGCCTCCAAATGTATTATTGTGCCATAATAACTTGATGACATGTTCTCTTTTACAAACAGACCGAGTTGCTCAAAATTGTTTCTGCCTTTTTCCACAGTATGAAATTCTGCTGTGTGTCCAAGACCATGACGATCCAGCTATCGATGTTTGTAAAAAGCTGCTGGGCAAATATCCCAATGTTGACGCCAGGTTATTTATAGGTAAGTATTTGACGATAAACTATAAATGGTGCCTTGGCAATTAATTTAAATAAAATATGTTGAAGTACTAAAACTCATTAAAAAATAAATGAAAGCTAAATTGAAATATTAAAATAATAATTAAAACGAATAAAAATTGCTAAATCACATAGCAAAATTAAAATTATATAAAATTAATTTCTCGATGAGAATTTAGTCTCTAAATGAGAACATGGCAGGACTGATCTAGATCTGGGATGGGGATTGTGTTAAAAATGCATAGAAATAATCATGTTTTTATTATTATTATGTAATATTCATGTGGACTGGGTATCGGTCAGTGTACGTGGAATGTAGTCCCTGTTGTAACAAAAGTGAACCAAAAGAGAAATATTTTTACATTTCAGATGCTTTCTAATATATTTTAATTTCTGGAATATTATTATTCATGTCATTCTACTCTTAAAAACATCTGTAACTGACAGGAAAAAAGACAAATAAATTGATAACCACACTTTCTTTTAAAATGGCCAAATTTTATGATGGTATGGTATGATGGTACAATCATTTATAGCCCTAATGGTAATTAATATTGCAATTTATTTTCTCTTTATCTCGTTCTAGGGGGTAAGAAAGTTGGCATCAATCCAAAAATAAATAACCTCATGCCAGCTTATGAAGGGGCAAGGTACGAACTCGTCTGGATCTGTGACAGTGGCATTCGAGGTAAGCTTGCCCACATTATAATCTAAAACCGAGCACTTTAAAGGGGTCGTATGATGCAATTTCAAGTTTTTCTTTCTCTTTGGAGTGTTACAAGCTGTTCGTGAGTAGATAAGATCCCTAAAGTTGCAAAGACTAAAGTCTCAAACCTAAAGAGATATTCTTTATAAAAGTTAAGACTTGTCCACGCCCTCCTAAAACGCTATCGATGTTTGTAAAAAGCTGCTGGGCAAATATCCCAATGTTGACGCCAGGTTATTTATAGGTAAGTATTTGACGATAATCGCTTTTTATGTGAAATGAAGCCAATAATAGAGAGAACACGGGCAGTGTTGTGCTGAGGTGCATGTCTCTCCCTCGTGGATTCGGTTCTCTGTGACAGTTTTGTTTAGCCGTGTGCAGGGAAATGGCAGGGTCTCTGAGGAGCCCCGTAAGAGGAACACCAACCCAACTGTGTATATGCAAATGTAGCTCTTGGAGTGGATATTGATTCTTGCTCGTTAGGAACAGCTGGGGTCCTGTTATCCGCCCCGCTGCCTTCAGCCAGTCTGTTACCGTACAAACAGTCAGGGGAGATGGGTTGGCCCAGAGATGTCATCCGCTGCTTCGAATCAAGCTGAAGCCATGTTAGAAAACATGTATCGTCTGCGAGGTTGTGTAGCTTTAAACAACTCTGAGTGGTTTACCCCACCAGCCAATCTGACGTCGGTAAAGCGTGCTTTGTGAAATGCATTAGTGCACTCAGAGGCCCTGTCGCCATATGATCTTTAGGTGTTCAGTCCACAAATAAACATCTTCATGTGACCTTATTTACATCCATCCGTAAAGGGGATTTAAAGAGGATCTGCTTTATTGATGGATGATAAACCGGTTACGATTTATATAATCGCTTGATCATGTTTATTTAATCTAATCTTGCATTGTTGTTATTATTAATTATTATTATTAAATACGACTTCTATCTATGTGCATTTTAATTTCAAGTCAAATTCTTTAATCAACTATACTGCATTAATCTAATATGTAGTCTTGCATTTTTATTTTGTATTATTATTATCTTTAAATATGACTTCTGTCAATGTGAATTTTAATTTCCAGAAATTCCAGTCATTCTGGTCGCTTCTGACTCACAGACTGTAAGTATGTTTTCATATTTAAAGGATTTGCCACTGATGATTCAAACGCGAGTTTTGGGCAGTGTAGAGTAGCGCTTGTTGTTCTTCATTTCTCCGATCACAAATGCAGACATGGTTTTATGTTTATGCAGCGCGATGCAACGCAATGCGTAAAAAGGCCGTATAAGTCATTCTAATCCGTAATTATGTCCCCACTGGATGCAACAAATGCCTCGTTTGTAATGGGTGTTATTGGTTTTGTCTCGTCGCTCTGGGACACGTCATCACAATATGGTAGGGGCGTAACATTTCCGTCACACGCTTGAGGTATTCGGCCAATCACAACGCACTGGATAGCTGGCCAATCAGAGCACACGTCGCTTTTCAGACAGATGAGCTTTGTAAAAATCGATGCGTTTCAGAAAGGCGGGGCATAGAGGAGAAACAATAATGTACAGTATGTGGAAAAGAGTGTTTTTTTGTTTTTTTACCTTAAACCACATAAACACATTTCATTACACCAAATACACAAAATAATGTTCTTTTTTAGCAGCATCATATGACCCCTTTAAACAAAAGATTATTCATTTGTGTTATAGTGAATACAATTCTTTATTCTTACTGTTTCGTGTGAAAAGAATAATGGAAAATGACCAGGACATGTTTTCATGAGATTGACCTTTGAACAACTGTGTCAGTGCTAATCATGATGTAATATTCAACAGTGAAGCCCGACACTCTCACTGATATGGCTAATCAGATGACGGAGAAGGTGGGACTGGTTCACGGTCTTCCTTACGTGGCGGACAGACAAGGATTTGCCGCCACATTGGAGCAGGTCAGCAGCCTTCACTATTGACCTTCTAAATTCTTGGTCGGGACAGTGTTGAAGACGTTTGTCGTCTGGATTTGGCTCTGGAAAGCTTTGATTTTATTAGATGCTTATGAACTCGCCATTGCTTATAGGACCTGTGTATTATGTATTCGAGGGCCGCTCTGTCTTGTCACACAGCAATTACACTGCCAAGTTGTGGCTCTGTTGCTAGTAGAGGCTCCAAACTTGAAATGGGACACCATATGTTGTAGTTCCTCTGTTTCTCTAAACCTTAAAGCTCTTTTGCCAAATCAGTGCAATATTAAAATTCATTAACTGCTGACAATATTGATTTATTTATGAATTTTCTTTTAGCTCCACGTAAAATCTAATCACCAATCATCTCTCAATTGATTAAATATTATATTATTGTAGTAGATGAGCCGTTAAATTTAATAGATGTTACAAAAACAGACTTCGAAGGCAATATATTAGCATGTTAAATTGTCAGCTCTGCTAATAAATAACTGGCAGAAGTGTTTACATATGTAATACGATTCTTGATGCGTCAAATCTTTAGAGATTAATTATGTGAAGTATAAACACTGTCCCACATGAAATCCTGCAGGTTTATTTTGGAACATCACATCCTCGTTCCTACATCTCGGCCAATGTAACGGGAATCAAGTGTGTCACGGGGATGTCGTGTCTCATGAGGAAGGACATCCTGGACCAAGCGGGCGGGCTGATTGCGTTTGCTCAGTACATCGCTGAAGATTACTTCATGGCCAAGGCCATCGCAGACAGGTTTGCCAGACTCATTAAATATCTGTGCCGTGCTAATAGCTTTTGATATCACACTCCATCGGGTTACATTTTTTCACCCGTCTTTAAAGGAATAAATACATTTAAATTCTGTTATTCACTCACCCTCATGTAGTTTCAAAACTCTGCCTTTATTTCTTTTGTGAAACACAAAAGGAGATGTTTAGTAGAATGTTGATGCTGCTCTTTTTAAAAAATGTGTCTATATAGTTTTATAAAAAATGTTTTGTTAGATTTAGTTTATTTTGTTTGCTATTTTAGTACCTCAGATAAACTAAACATTTAAAAAAAAAAATTTCAAATGTAGTTTAGTTTATTTCAGTTAACATTTATTTTTTAAATATAACATATTTTATGGTTTTTGTTTTAGCTTAATTATAACACTGCTAACGATGAGAAAAAAAATTTGTAAAAGTAGCGCTGTGCTCTATATTCCAGGTTTCTGAAGCCGTGCGATAGCTTTGTGTGACTAACACCAAAAAATGTAATTTAATCATTAAAAAATCTAATTCACTTCCATGTATATTCAGTTATAAAACACTTGGGTTTATAATGAATTAAAATTCAAGCAATGACTTTTAATGAATTTCAGTTTTGATCTTTTCCTTATCAAATCATTTGAAGTCGTTCAGTAGCATTTAGTATGTAGTGCATTTATTTCTATGCACCAATTTAATATGTCTATTATTTAGAGCTTGACAGTCTGGCTTCCCTGTGCTTTTATTGTATGGAATAGATCATCTCAAAGTCATGTGGGTGTGGAGCAACATGAGGGTGAATAAATCATAACCAAATGTTTCGTTTTGAATGAAATATTCCTTTAATGTGTGTTCAGAATTGTATCTCTCAGCCTCGGCTAAAATGTCCTTTATTTGCCAGTTCAATGACGTGGTGTTTCTCTTGCAGAGGATGGAAATTTTCCATGGCAACGCAGGTAGCCATGCAGAATTCTGGCTCGTACTCCATTGCACAATTCCAGTCTCGCATGATCAGGTACGGCGGTTGTTCAAACAGCTTTTTATGCTCAGTACTGTTTTTCTGATGGGGCCACCTCCAGCGCATTGATGATAGCGTTCCAGATGGATCTTTTAAATTGCATCATAGTACAGAGCATATCTTGAATAGATTTTGTCCATCTTTTGATACGTTCATCAGAATAAGCTATCCAGCTGTAAGACATGATGTTTTTTTGTGACTTTAGATGGGTGCATTTCCCATTTTGTGGTGCGAAAAAACAGCTGAGCTCATCTCATTGTAATCTGCTCTTAATAGATGGGCCAAACTGAGAATCAACATGCTGCCAGCCACCATCATCGAGCCCATCTCCGAGTGCTTTGTGGCCAGTCTTCTCATCGGCTGGGCCGCCCACCACGTGTTCCGCTGGGACATCATGGTGTTTTTCCTGTGCCATTGCCTGGCCTGGTTCATTTCGGATTACATCCAGCTGAGAGGAGTACAGGTGAGACGCAATACACAGCTAATTTGCATTTCAGCTCCATTCTGGTACAAAACAACCATTTTTGACCATTCCAATCAATTCCCAAAGGATAAAATCAAGCCTTACCCCATTGTTTTAGAGTTTAAATCCAATCCTAACCTCGTTCTACTCAGAAATGTCACATTTCTGAAGAAACATTTCTTGTTTGACATCCAAATCAACTGTCTGAGGAAATTCTATAAACAGATGGTTTTCATTTTCAACTCTTTCAAGCAAAATTTGACCGAGGTTGTTCCATCATAAGTTGTTCTTCAAAGCCATTTTATCTTGAATTGCAACATTTGTCGGTTCTTGTTGTAATTCTTGTCTTTCTACTCATTTTCCCTCAAAGGGCGGTCCTCCATCCTTCTCCAAGCTGGACTACGCAGTGGCCTGGTTCATCAGGGAGTCCATGACAATTCAGATTTTCTTGTCCGCTCTTTGGGACCCCACCATCAGCTGGAGGGCGGGACGCTACCGATTGCGTTGCGGAGGTACTGCAGAGGAAATCTTGGACGTTTAAACGGCACCGTGTGCCTGGGACTATGCACTGATGTGTACATGGACACAGAACTATGAGAAGAAGTGGGCGCAGATGGACAAACAGGGGGTTATTCCAACTTCTGCTAGTTTTTAACCTGTTAGTTTAGCAAATAGATTATTTATGTCCTTGGTGCTTTTTTTGTTTTCCTGTGCGGTCTCTTGACAATTTGAGACCTCGTTCTAGATGAGCCAAAAGTTATGAAGGGGTGAAGAAGAAGAAGAGGAGGCGGCACTTCAGCGGGCATCAGTAACCCTGATAAAAACGTATCTAAATGTAACTCTTTTTTTATTTTAAAAAAAGTTGTGCAAACATGTTTAGTGGTGGTTTAACAGCTGTCTCGTGACATATCCATTTTATGATGAGTTTGGATGAACGGTACAGTTTTTAACGGTAATATTGAGGTGGAGAATGACTGAAGTCTTTTAAAATGGCACTAGCGCATGAAAGGATCACTTGCTTATCACAGTGTTGCTCTCAACATACAGCACTCTTGCCATATTTGATACATTTTTGGACTTCCGAATGCTCAAAACGGATCCACTCAGGTCCATTTTATGTTTACTGGATAGAGCAATATCTTCTGTAGAGGTTATACATAGGGAATTGTGGCATACTGCCGATCGATCCTGCATTCTCCCTGCAGTATTCGAGCACGAGGTTTACTCCTCAACATGACATCTGCAGATTTAATCGCATATCTTCTGAAATGTAGTGCCATTTGAAGAGCAAGCGGTTTTATTGTTATAATTTTGGCATCTTTAATGCCAACAACATGGCTTTTCTTCAAGGTCTTTTATCTTCCCTTGCTTCATTCTCTGCAGTAGTTGCTCTCGTACCGGGATCAAAGTTTACTAAAACACATTTCCTGGTCCTGCTGTTGTTTGTTTGAGAAGCTGTCAGTATTTTCCTGACGTTTGACTGGATATAAATGCATAAACTGTCCGATCATTTCATCCGATGCCATTTCAGTTAGTCGATTAAACCAAATTCTGTTGACGTAAAGAGTTTGAGAAGTTAAAGTTTACTCGTTTTTTTTTTTTTTTGCTCAATCATCCACAGGATCTAGGCATGACTTTGTTACTTGGCATATCATTTGAAGTTAGACGAAAACTAATTTTATGGACCCTGATAAACAACAATGCGCTCTCTAAAACCCCTTACCTTAAAAACGAGGCATTTAAGCTTCATTGCACTGTCAGAGCTTACAAATAGTAGTCCATCACTGATTACATGATGATAACTGTAGTTAGTAACGTGAACTAGGTTGTTCATTTTAGGTAATGTATTCAGACTACTTTTTAGATTACTTTTGATTTAACTTGTTTTAAGCGGCATTAAATGTACCATATTGATATAAAAAAGCAAAGAGAAATAAATATATTCTATTTTTTTTATCTCAACATCATAAAATGCATTAAACATTACATTAAACCATGGTTTCCCAAACTCGGTTTTATGTAGTGGGTTTAAGAGTTGATAAAACTCGAATAATTAATTCCACTTGAACTCTAATATTTAATTTCATATTTATATTATGACGACATAGTGTTTAGTAACTTGTATAAATATTTATTTCAGGTCTAATGGCTTGAGAGGTGCTCTTCCCACCCTAATTCAGAAGCGTGGTGTGCAAATGTATTTACATGACCAGTATTCTATATTGTGAATATAATCAATGCTGAATGGTATAACACACAGTAGGATTTCTAAAAAAAATTGTAAAAATTTACAAGGGAAAAATGAAGAATGAGGCAGAATCGATCAATTATGAATTATTTACTGCCATTGTGTGAATAATATGAATATTTGAAGAATAATTGACAACGGGCCATTGAATTATTAAAAAATAATGACTCGTTTTTTTTTTTTTTGAGTTTAAACAATTTGACATGAGTGGCATGAAAACTGGCAAACATTTACACTGTTACATTTCAAAATATGACAGTCGCACAGTGTGCTATTTGGCTCTACTCATTCCCCAACAACATATATACTCTTACAGTCAAACAGTATTCACGAAACAATTGACATTCTTCTCCGTGTTCCCCTTTTTTTTCCAGGAAGTGCTAATCTCTGTTTCGTACTGCCAGCACTTTGTTTGTTAAACCGCTCTTTCTGTATTTCCCTCATTTCTTGACTCTTTCTTTACCACCATGCGTTCATAAATCATGATGGTGAAGGACCCATGCCAGCACTGGCAGTATTGTTTCACAGATGCTACTCTACTCATGAACTGTTCAAGCCTTGTTGTTAATTTAAAACCATTATATGTGATTCAGGAAAAACACGTTGGCTTAAGCCATGTGCATGTGTCTTCATATTCCATCAGCTGCCATTTAGAAAGTTATAAACACTGTTTTAGTCCAATGCCAAACCCTGCATTGTGTTTTTGTTCTGGTGTTGGTTTGTTATTTCTAATTTGAATACATCTGATTTTGTTCTACTACTGAACACTTTGGGCTGACTATTAGAAATAAACGTATGTTTTGTGCATGAGGCCACGAAATGAATGCCATTTGTTCGTATCATGGCAGTTGAAGTATTAAAAGTTGGGGATCAATCAATTAGCAATAATCATATACATTATTATTAGTTTTACTGTATTCAGGCTGTGAAACAAAATCAAGCTTCCAAACCCATTTTCTTGTCCAGTTGTGGTATAATAAACATTTCAGATTTTGTTGACCGTTAGACATTAATCATACCTCAGAAAAACAGTGGGCCAGAGTTTTTGCGAAATCATTCAAAAGAAACATTCGAATGTAAACTACATGGAATTAATTCGTGAAACCATTATATTTAATCATTGGTGATGCGATTCTTCTGTAAATTGGAATTGGTTTTACAAATTATTCAATGGAAGGCGACAATTTAGATAAGAACAGTTTTATGAATTATTCAGTTTGGTGTGCCAGTTTATGCAAACAAGGTTTTGCGAATTATTCCACTGATTCTTTTGTAAATAGCTGCATTGAATTGAATAATTTCACAAAACCATTTTTCAAGTAAATTGTTGCATCGAATTGCGTAATTTCATGAATTCTTGCATAATAGTAGCATTTGATTGAATAATTAGTTCAAACCATTCTTGCATAAATGATTGCATTGAATTCTGCGCTATTATAATAAAATAATAGATTCAGGGAAAGTTATTACTTAACAACAGACGTTTTATGAATGATTAACAAATTCATTCTGCTTTTGAATAAGGCCCAATGTGTTGTAGTTCTGCACCATTGGTAAAACTGAATGTACCTTCGCATGAACATGCGACTAACTTTTCTTTCATCGTCTTATTGGTAACACCTGAAACACCACTGTAGAAACGAACATTTTCTTTTTTTAGGAAAGGGGAAAGCTGTTCTTCAGTTCCTCTCTTTGACTTTCAGCCATATCGGCTTATGTTATATATGTGAAATATTATATATGTGTCAAAAAGAAACTTCACCTCAATTACGAAAAGTCTACGATGCACTGTAAATTCCCCGTTTAGACTTTTCCCCTCTTCGTGTGACTGTGAGAGAATGCTGCTGAGCGCGTGTTTGCAGAAATATTGCCTTTTTGATAAGCCAATTCTGAAAGGATTGTATTATCGTAAAGTTCTCTGTGGGGAACTGGACTTCCAATTTTTTTTTTTTTTTCATTAATGTACAGTTGTATGTTTGTCAGATTAACATGTTTTGTGAAAGACTGGTGACCCGTATGCTGGCGTGTGGACATGAGAAAATGTGGCTGTCCTGCACTTGCCGACAGCCGTTTTCTCAAAACCAGTAACACAAAACAATTGAGAAATTCAGTCTGCGTCAACCGTATTGGGACGCATATTTACAGGATCGGAAACAATATGGTAGTGAGCTGCCTAGACGGTCTCAAAATGTCGTGAGACAAAGTTTAAGTGTCATATCCTGTGCTATGATTTAACATTACTACATTTCACTCACTTAAACGATCTTTAAGTCTACAGCATTGGACTCAAAGTGACCCGAGAGAAACTACTGCTACATGTTTACCATACGGTCATCAGTCAGAGTAGAAAAAAGTCTAGTTGTGATCCACCGCTTTTATTTTATGTGCTGACAAAAAGTTGAAGCTTTTACTTTTCTTTTAAATATGTACAGTTTATTTATGAAGTTTGGTTGATATCCATTACATACACTGCTCCCTAAGGCTTAATTTATCATCAAGTTGTACATTTTAGTTATTCCTTTTCTGCAGTGTAAAGGTATGGCTGGACAGACTTCAGTTTTTGAACTTTTGTGTTATTTTGTAGATGTTGTGTACTGTACTCTTGATGCTGAATGCGTAATCCACAGCTGGAAACTGTGTCATTACAGATATATTAAAGCTTTATCCAGCAATATAAGAAGTGCGTGTTTCCTCAGCTCGAATCTGTTGTGTGTGATCCTCATGCTTACGTTTAGAGTATTTTTAGTAGTTCGTGGTTCGCTGCATTAGTAATACAATAGTTCCTTTCAAAGCAATGGAAGTCAGTTCCCTGCCCCTATTTCTGACTTCCTGTGTTTGAGTTTCTGTCATCATTCATGCACCACATCACATGTCTGAAACTGTCAAATGCTCAATCATCCACAGGATCTAGGCATGACTTTGTTACTTGGTATATCATTTAAAGTTCGAAGAAAACTCATTTTATGGACGCTGATAAACAATAATGTACGTGTTAAAAACCCTGACCTTAAAAATTAGGCATTTGGTGTTTAAGCTTCACTGCACTGTTGTTAAAACTGGGCAGATTACTTACAAATTATAGTCCGTGATTACGGATTACGTGATGAAAACTGTAGTTAGTATTCTGACTAGTTTTTGGATTACTTTTTTTATTATCTTGTTTTAAAAGTATCATATGGATATAAAAAAGCAATGAGAAAGAAATGCATTCTATTTTTGATACCAACATCATAAAATGCATTAAACATTACATTAAAAAGTGTCATATCCTGTGCTATGATTTAACATTACTACATTTCACTCACTTAAACGATCTTTAAGTCTACAGCATTGGACTCAAAGTGACCCGAGAGAAACTACTGCTACATGTTTACCATACGGTCATCAGTCAGAGTAGAAAAAAGTCTAGTTGTGATCCACCGCTTTTATTTTATGTGCTGACAAAAAGTTGAAGCTTTTACTTTTCTTTTAAATATGTACAGTTTATTTATGAAGTTTGGTTGATATCCATTACATACACTGCTCCCTAAGGCTTAATTTATCATCAAGTTGTACATTTTAGTTATTCCTTTTCTGCAGTGTAAAGGTATGGCTGGACAGACTTC